TGACTAGAAAGTGTTATAATGATCTTATTCACAGCATGTCCATATCATTAAAAAAGCTCATTTTCATATATTTTAAAACTTTTAAATACTTATCAGTAATTCAATCATCTAATACTGAACAATTACATCTGCTACAAAATTCAAGTACTCTCGTTAATTTTATTTCTTGATTTGAGCTAAGTGAATAAAATCAAATATGGAGGGGGTTTTGTGGAAATTTTAATAATTTTATAATTGAATTCATGAGCCAATTGAAGCTAGACCATCATGGAAAATCTGAAAGCACTGGACGGCGGTTTCGTCTCAGTGTGGAACTCCTCAGTAGTGTACAATGATGGACGGTGGCCCAAATTCATGGATTGGTTGAAGTTAGACATTAACACCGTTGGATGCCGGTTCAGTGATTTAGAGGTTAAGCGTTCGCACACGAGACCGATAGGTCCTGGGTTCGAGTCTCACGGGGTGGGATCGTTAATACACACTGCTGAGGAGTTTCACACTGAGATGCAACGACTATCCAGTGCATCCAGGTTTTTCGTGGTGGTCTAGTTTCAACTGACTCCTGAATTCAACTATAAAATCAAATCTGCCAATTTTTAAATAAAATACATAAATGTCAAAATATTTTGGACGGAAAAGTATGGTATTTAAAAGTATATTAATATATTATCAATCCTTGTCATTGGAATTGTTCATGGGGATTTCAATGTTCAGTACTAAAGGTATCAAAATAAAGTGTGTGTATGTATGTGTTTGTTATTAAATATTAAAAGATGACTAAAGCTGGGAATACATAAGAAAATATTTGTCATTTTTTTATATACATGGTTATTAACTTTTGGTGTTTTAAAACCATTATGAATTTAGAAATAGATAAACAAACAATCATATTAAAATATAGAAACTACTAGATGAAATTCAGTTAGTAACTCTGCACTTTTGGTTTACAGAAGTACAACTGATCAGTCTTTGTTACCATACGTGCATTCCAAGTGGATTGCCTTGCTATTATGTTATTGCTACAAATTGTAATATATTTAGTATGTGGCTAATAGTGGAAATCAGGATGTGCATTCAGTCTTATTTTGGGCTTAGCAGCTAGTTGTAAATTCATCCCATTCCACACTGAGACCCAAACTGCGTACTTTCCTCTTCACATAGCTAATATTTTTTGTGAAATTTACTCGATGACAAAATCAATGGATACTTTCAAGGAGTCCCGAAATAGGATAAAACTTACTGCCTAATGCTTCTAAATTATTAATAGTTCTTCAGATGATGTGAATCTTTGAGAGGAACCAACTTGGAATTGAATAATTACCATTAGTCCTAAACTTATTAAAAATCACTGCTCATTTTAGTGATTTTACGAGTTTTATTGACATCCAATGCAAATGAAACGTAATATGAATATCGGATTCTTTCAGTGACTTTTCACTCAATAGACTTGTTAGGAAAGCGGTAATAAATGATTCAAAAAATAATCATTCATTTGACATTTGAACAAATAACTGAGCAGAATAACATAAATTCATCTTATTTCGTAAAGTTCTCATCAGCAGTTTACAAACTATAATATTTTAGAAATCTAAATTATTGTAAATTTTGCATACCTAAAAACAGTAAAAATGAGTATGTGCCATCATTATAGAGTAAACAGATTGAATACAAAGAATGGTGTAAATAAAGTATGATAATTAAGGGAAGAATCTGGATAATCAGATATGGTAACAAAAAATTATAGAGACAAAACAACTAAGTCATTATATAATGTAGTAGTTGAACATAAATTAGGTGCCGTCTCAGTTGTCTAGAGGTTAAGCGTTCACGAGCGAGACCCAAGGTCCTGAATTCGAATGCTACATGTGGGATCGTGGACGCACACTGCTGAGAAGTCCCATATAAGGACGAAACGGCCATCTAATGCTTCCAGATATTCAATGATGGTCTAAAATTATTCGATTCATGACCACAATCATAGATTGATAGTCATTAAAATTAACATAGGCTAAGATTAGTTAGTCAGGAAATAGAGTTATGAATTTGAAAGTTGTGCAACTATAGATTAATTGATATCTCCGACTGATGAGCCCCAATTAAGACGAAACAATCATGCTAGATCCCACTGCTACCCACCATCATCTCTGTTTAAAACTATAGATTGTTTTAGTTAAGCAATATAATTGGTTTTTTTTTAATTTTTTTACCTACTGAACTTCACTTGTCATGTGATATGTGCTGTGAATTTTATTTTTCAACTACTATTGACAACATAAATTACAAATTGTTGCTAACACTAATGTCACTCTCGTTTGAATTTAATGTTAACGGGTAAATTTAAAGACAGCCTTGTCAATTGTCAGTGTTTTTTGTAACCAAGTTCACATTCACATAATGACATATATAAAATAATAAATGGTCTAATATATACATTGTTACTTGGGAAGAAAACAAAATAACATTTTTTACTGATTTGTTTTTGAACTTGGTAATTATCACATTTATTTGTTCTTCCTATATATTTTTTTTTCTAAAAAGGGTAACTTCAATGTGATTACGTCAACTCTTTGTCTCTTATTGTTTGTGTATGTCGTTTACTCTTTCTTTGTCTCTTCAAATTCATAATATGTATTTTTTTTCTTACATTATTAACTAGAGAAGTTAACCGATACAACGAAACTTAGTGTCAAGTAATATAAAATGTGTGTTCTTTTCGTTTTAGGAACGAAATGTACTGACAGATACGAATCATTTGCAAACATAATACAACATTCATTTAAATGTTATTCTGTATAGGAATAGTTGGATGAATATGCTGTGCTTACATATACACACATTCATATCTTTGGTACAAGTTTTTTTTGGTGGATAACGTTTTCTTCCTGTGAAAAATGCACATTGGAATCACATGAATGAAACTTGTTTTGAACTTGTATTCATAACATGGACCTTTACATGTTTAATTCAATAAACAAGCTATTTCCTATATGTCGTATATAAATCTAGCTAAACATAATCCCATAGTACGTAGTAGTAGTAATAACAAATGTTTTGTTCTTAAAATTTTTATCATTTTTGCAAGAAAGGTGAGACAAAATGTAGTATAAACAATTAGAATACATAAGTACAGGACATTATTTTATTTTTAAAAACAAAACAGCTATAAATTTTCACAGTCGAAGTTGTGGGTCGATTTAAGCCAGACCATTATTGGAAACCTGGAAGCAATGAATGACCGTTTCATTCTAGTATGAAACTTATCAGAAGTGAGCATCCACAACCTTGCACGCGGACTCGTAACTCAGGACCTTGGATCTCGTACGCAAACGTTTAACCTCTAGATCACTTAGTCGGTATTCAACAATGTTAATTTTCAACTTCAATCAATCTATGACCTTTCACAACCCTTCTTTCATTGATTGATGTGGATAACTGTCTCACACCTAACATGAATCGGACTCCACTGGTCACGGCTTCCCACTAGAACTCCAGGAGTTGCATCTTGAAGTTGGTCACTAGGGAGCATGCAATTGTTATCAGTGTGAAGATTTGTGGAGATTCTGGTTTTTCCACAGTTGAAATTTAATAAAATTGATAAAATTTCAACTGTTTTAATCACTTACAAAGTATTGGCTGAATATGAACGTGTTCATCGAAGGATAGGAGAGTTTTTAATATGAAATCTCGTTGCACACGTAGCGAATGTGCGTTGTCAAGGTGATCTAAATGGTATATATGCAGTTGTGTGATGCACCACCCTGTTTGGAATTTCGTTACAATATATATATATTGGTTAAACGAAATTCTCCAAAAAGAAATTTAAATGACCTTTCCCATAAAAAGTAGGGATTCGCATTGCAATCACTGAAGATCACAAAGAAATAGATGACAATAATCAGTGCAAATGATGTAGATTACTGAATTTCATTAGCCATTGAAAATCTGGAAGTACTAAGCAGACATTTCGTCTTATCATGGGACTCCTCAGAAGTATGCCCAAGTACCCTGTGAATAGGAGTCAAACCAAAATCCCTAGGTCTCGTGCGCATACCTTTAACCTTTAGACCAATACGCTGAAATACAATAGTGTACAAATCTAAATTCAGTCAACCCATGAGCGTGGAGTGAGGACTGATGCGGTGTTCCAGCTTTTTAAGGGTTTTCTAACTTAAACCTATTCGTGATATTAATAAAATAGAAAATAGCTTGAGACATTTTATTACCATATTCAGATCACCACTTTCTCAGTCTCAAGCTTCGCGGTTAACACATGAGACTTATGGTTTCTGAATTCAATTTCAACCTGTAATAATATCAATCCGTTAATTGTGAAACGTTTCACTTAACAACATCATATTGAGGTTATACTAGCTACAAATTACAGGTGTGTGCTTAAACTGTTTTTAATCAAACAATAGTAAACCACATCACTACATCAACAGGGTTGGTTATTTGGTTGAATTCTGCTAGATGAAATCCAAGAAAAAAATTGGAGCAAATAAGCTGTTTATTAATACTTGAAAAGTTTGTCTATATTTCTTTAATCGATGTTAATTTGTGTAGGAAAAAATTGGAAAACTCAAATCACTGGATGATAAAAAGGACTTATTCGTTTACTCCTAGCACACATTGATTTACTTTGTAACCTATGAAGCAGGATTCACGAATGAATATTTCTACAAATGTAAAACTTTATAGATGGAGAATTTCTTTTTATAAATCACGACTCTTGAAGATTGAATATCCATGCAATTGAAGCCATTTTTGATTATTAACATTAACTGATTGAAAGAAATCTGTTTGTTGTATAAATGAAAGCACTTTCAGTTAATTTGCTTTAAGTCATCACTGACAATTAAACACATTAAGATTATTCTATATGATTTATTTTGATTGATTTTTTAATGTTGCATTGTAAGCTACATTGTCATTAATGAATTAGTACCGAACTCAGTTTAATTCTTTAATTATTTCACTGATATGTTTCTCACTTTCTTTAGAAAGAAGAATCAATGCTTTGTGAAGAACGTAGCTTTATGGAACATCATTGCACATCATTGACATTCTTAACATTTGTGATAAAACTTAATTTAGTTAAATTAGTTTCTCAAAATAAATATCAATGTTTCCATAATTTTCTCGATTATCTAAGGTGTTTAACAAAATCTTAGTCAATTCTATGAGTTCGGTATACTCTATACAATTCATTTATATTCTATAATCCTTTCTATGTATGTTATTTCATCATTTAAAACAATCAATATTTTCCCCATATATGTATAATACCATAAGTATATGTTAGTAGAAGGACCTGCAAATAACTGTTTACCCTTGACATTACCTCTCCAATTTTTTTAACATTAGAATAAAATCTTTCATTAAACATAATGCAGAAACATCTATTTAACTGAGTTAAATCATTTCTATCAACTAAGACTGTAGTCTAATCGTTGTCTAACAAAAACGTAATTAATATCAAATGGGTTTTGTGGATATTATAGTAATTTCAATGGTTAAGATCATGAGTCATTTGAAGCTAGACCACCATGGAAAACTTGGAAGCGATGGACGTCCGTTTCGCCCTATTGTGGGACTCCTCAGCAATGCGCATCCACGACCTCTCCCCCTGCGAGATTCAAACCCAGAACCTATCAGTAACTCTCTGAAGACAGTGGTGGACGGTGGCTCAATTTGAAGTTGAAGTTAGACATTAACACCGTTGGATGCCGGATCGGTGGTCTAGTGGTTAGGCGCTCGCGCGTGAAGCCAGTAGGTCCTGGGTTCGAATCCCGCAGAGGGTGAGGTCGTGGATACGCACTGCTGAGGAGTCCCACAATAAGACGAAACGGCCATCCAGTACTTCCAGGTTTTCCATGGTTGTTTAGCTTCAACTGACTCATGATCTTAACCACTGAAAACGTAATTCTTAAATATACTTTAAACAGATGATTAAATAAACAATAATATCTACTGTCGTTATTCAAGCCATCAAACGTGTATCGATTGAAATGATTGACTTATATGTATATTTGACAATGATAATTGCATTAATTTGATGGGAAATTTTGGTTATGATACCATTTCAGTATTTGGTTAGTAGTCATAAAGTTTTCTGTTACCCAAGTTCAAATCAATATTACTGCCAGGCAGTTATTTATGTATGCCTTAACTGTTACATCATAGATTGTTTAATTTTATTATTCAGAAAATATTGTCTTATGTTTTTTTGTAAAATTGGAAACTCTTGTCTCTATTGAAATGATCATACTGGAAAAAAACAACTAATGTGTACTGACTTTTATAGCATAGAAAAAGTAATCATATTTATGAACAGTAGTATGATGATTAGATATTTGATTTTCTTTCTAATTAGTAGTGGTGTAGTGTGAGCTATTTATATTGTCATAAGTACTTTATGATATTAGTCATGAACAGAAGGTCTGGCAGCAAAGAGACAAGAGGATCGAACAGTAAAGAATCGAAACAGAATGCAATTTGTATAAAAATGCAAGAACAATGAAGTTCCCACCCGTGTTCTGTTCACTACAGTGGTATGTAGTTAGTTTCGAATAAAAAAAGCACTTCATTTTCTACTAATTAACTATGCTTTTTACCTGAATGATAAAAATTACTATTGATTATGCTAATTTCTACATTAGAAACTATTTTCTACAGTTTCACTTTATTAAATACCTATAATTATGAGTGTTAAAATTTAAAAAACGTGCTGTTGAACCATTTACAATCAAATATTGAAGCTGTTTAAGTGCTGTCATAAATTATGTGAAACAAATTAGAGGAAACGACAAAATATACATCGATAAACTGGGACTTGATACAAATATGTAATAGCTAAAATGTTTCCATCACTCATATCAGCATATTCAGTTAGTCATAATCAAAGTAGGACAGGACATAGATATTATACCGATATAAGTAAACATACTAAATTTCAATTTAGTCCTAGAAGGAATTAATACGATTAAAGCCATAGAAAACAAATGACACTAACTATAATTGAAAGGTAAACTTGAAAAGTATAGAACAAATGAACTGTGTTTAGTATTGGAATACAGTATGTACATTTTGTTCATTATAAAACTCCTCAGGTGTATACATCTGGATCTCAACATTTTTACTGTGGTGGACTAATATATATATCATATAAGTATATAAATGATAATAACGTCACTTTAAATAAACAATCAATTATACGTAACTGACTTAGTTCTATGCACTATAAGTACATATAATATATACAGAGTATAATTCATAAACGGTTATCAGTTACCTGTTCAATAGATTCAAAATATATATCCAAAATTATTATTATAGGAGATTATTTGTTTCTAAAAACTAGATATACTTCAATATTATGACAGATTATGGTTCAAGATAACGTTCAGAAATATCAACTGTGAAGATATACATAAAATATTAGTAGAAACCTAGAAATATATGGAAGGAATATTTGGTAAGAAGAAAATGATGAATGATAGGTAGTAAATGTATTTGATGAAGGATAATCAATGTATTCTGCAAAAAATAGTGTACAGGGTAATTCCAAAATAGAATTCAATAATACTGTACATATATCAATAATAAAAGTTGTATAGATACAATGAAATAATGTGAAATGTGGATAATGGTAAAAATTATTTATAAATTATATTTAGACTAATGATCTCTTTAAATTTACTTGGTATTGTTTAGTTGAATTTTCCTATTAATGTTTAAGACTGCAATTAATCAGTCACTTATTAGCATATATGAACCCTGTGCGTATAGCCTCGATATTGCTTTAATTCATAAGCATTATAAGCAAAGATGGATAGTGGCTAGTAGTGGGATCCAGGACGCGTGTTTCCTCCTATTTGGGACTCGTCAGCTGGATGTACCTGCTAGCCACTATCCATCTTTCCTTATAATGCTTGTGAATTACAGCAATATCATGGCAATACGCACAGTATGCACATAGGCCAATAAGAGACTGATCAATTGCAGTCTCAAAAATCAATAGGAAAATTCAAGTAAACAATACCAAGTGAATTTAAACTTCATCCTATTGCACAAGAAAGTGGCTATCAGGACTCAATAGTTAAATGGATAACGCCATGGCGTTTGAAGCGAACAGTACTGGGTTCGAGTCCCAGAGTGAACATCAACTCTGAGATGCAGATACATCCAGCTGAAGAGTCTCAATTAAGACGAAAAGCGTGTTCTGGATTTCACTGCTATCCACTATCCATCTTTGCTTATAATAAACATCTCTTTATTATTCACAATGAATTGAAAAGTAAGTGAGTAAAAATATTAATATCAATAACATTATAAAACTAAAAAAAGGAAGATTTAAACAAAGCAAATGGATAAATTCAAATGATGACAGATACAGTTGTCATCAAACAAACTTGAAAAAAAACACAAAACACGACTTTTCAATGTTAAATAAGCATCAAAGACAATTTAAAGTGATATTCAGTCATCTACGTAACTGACCACGTATAAACGGTTTAGAGAGTTTTAATAACATTTGGTACTACTATATAATATGATATTTACTATTAATGCTAAGTCATTATTAAGCATTTTCAATCGTAGACAAGTCAATCATTAAGCTTTTACTGTGTTACTAAATAACTTTATCGTGAGAATCAATATCAAAATGTTTTTCTCCACAGTTAACTAACAGTCTATTCTGTTAACATAGAATTCGATCACTTACTTATTTACTTACTTATGCCTGTTACCCCCATTGGAGCGTAGGCCACCGACCAGCATTCTCCAACTTACTCTGTCATGGGCCTTCCTCTCTAGTTCTATCCAATTGTTGTTCACTCTTCTCAAATCTGTCTCCATTTCTCAGCGTAATGTGTTCTTTGGTCTTCCTCTTCTCCTTTGACCTTAAGGATTTCAAGTGAGGAAATCGATTGGTCGTTATTAACTAATTATTAAACTTTAAGTTATTTTTAAAAAAATTATTATAATGTTTGAGAGTATTTGAATTATTGTACAAACTAGGAATCCCAGAAATAATGCAACTTAACCAAGAAGTATTAGATGAGCACGAACAAACCTATTGTATTCAGAAATGGAACTCAGACAATCATCAAGTACAAAGAAATCATTAGTTCATGCAAACACCACAAATATCCACTATTCTCTGATATTTATTTTGGTATACTTGAATTTCTTTCTTGTAACAGAAAACAAGCAAATGTGAATTAATTCCTCTTCAAAATATATTAGAAATATTGTTCACTTGTTATTCAAATACACTTCGTAGGTGTAGAATAATGGTCTACTTCGATATTAGTACTGCTTTAATAATAGACCTATTCCTAAAATTGTAGATTTGTCATGATATAACTGCCTAATCTTTAGGATCTTACGTGGAAGTCACATCATATTCTACGCCAACTCATCACATCGTAACAATCATCAATATATGATCAGTCAGTCAGTCAGCTACAACGTAGGACCAGGCACATATGTGCATCAGTCTAAGTTGCCATACCGCATTAGCACAGCAAGATGAACACCGGATTCATAAGAGTGGTTTAGTCAACGGTGGTAATATATAAAAGAAAGATTGAATATAAGGACACAGTACATGAAGAAAGAATTAATTCGTAGAAAGAAAGGTATGAAATGATTTTAATCTCTTAGCTTAAGGCTAGACAGACAGTGCATACACCTACGTCATTGTGATCGATTCTGAGCCATGTCATCAAGAGTTTCCAACGTTTGGCTACTATAGTCACGCGGACCTCAACCAAGTAATCTGCATCTACCAACATGGCTGAGACTAGAAGTTAGTGACTTCAAGCACTGATGCCACGTTTTGGTTTGGCCGCCCAATATATGATGGAGAACAAACTTAGACTAGAGATAGAACAATATATTTATTATGAATAAAAGATATATGACAACAATCAAGTAAGACCACGCCTGCAACGTCGAGCCATGCTATCCGATCAATTCAAATTAATCCAATGCATTGTTCCCACTTTCTCCATCATAGGGTTTTTCTCCGTGTTAAATATTGAATATCTATTTTCCCAGCTGTCTCGTGTTCAGCTTTGAGAATTGTGTGGTTAGGGCCCAATGCCACTACATAGGTATTTAAGGGATAATGATGATAAATATATTCCTACTGGATACAAATACA